TGGGGCGTGAGAAGCCTCCCTCCAGCACGAGCCTCTCTCTCCCTTGCAGGCAGGCATTGGGACTGTGCTTCTGTGTCACTGCTGCTCTTGGGCATGTCTGCAACCTTCACCCCCTGCAACACCTCCAGCACTGGTGCCAGGAGCCGCTTTGCTCACACACTGACCGCTGCAACCTCTCCCAAAGCCTCTTTCTCCAACTCAAGCACATGCTAGCTTTCCCCAGCAGGCCACACAAATTGCAGCAATTAGCAAGTGTAAAGGGCATGCTGTGGTTTTCACATGTATTACTGCATCTTAATACTCATTCATATCCTTGGGCATAGTCATCAGATAGTATCCAGCAGGCTACATTATCCAGACCTTCCCCTCAGTGCTGCTGGTTCTGAGCCCCGCTGGAGACACCCCGTTCATTAGTCTTCATGGATCTGAACACCATCAGTTAGGAATTCTCCAGACTCAAGACAGCATGGCTTCTCTCTCTCCTTTGCTATCCTCATGCTGTGTGGACTTATCTCCAGCTCCTTCCTTACTCCCAATCTCTAACAGTGACCCTGTCATTTCCTGCCCCATGGCCACCTCCCCTCTGCAGTGCAAGGCCTGGCAGAGTCTGGTCTTCCCTACGTGATTTGCAACAGCAGCTCTGTCAGGAACAGCAACTTGGAACATTTCAAGCTTCTTTTTAAATGGTATTTTTTGTTATTGCTCTTCCCATGTACCAGTGATAGATGCTAAACAAAGGCTGGCCCAAACTGGGTAGAAAAGTTCCCAACTGCCTTCAAAAACAGCAACAAAGAATCCCTACTTGACTTTGCAGCCCTCACCTACAGAGACTCTTGGGCAATGAGGTGGCCTCTGTTTCTACAGCCCCCAACTGCAGAACTGAAGATGTTTTGGTACCAAAGCCACATCTAGCCCATAACGAGGGAGCAACCAGTACAGTCACTGGGACACCTACAGCTGTTGTAGGAACTAGGAAGGAGGGAGGCAGCTACCAGAGTGAGATCTGAGCCACCTGGAGCTCTGCAGATCAAAATCATCCTGTTATTCCTTATCAAAAGACAACTGGCACAGACGTACACACTGGCTGTGATTTCCAGACAGCTAGACATGTTGAAGGTGGATAGTACTAAAGCCACCTGACTTTGAACCCAAAAAATAAGGGACGGCTAATGCCTACAGCCCACAGCAAGCAACCATGACTGCAACAAAAAGTACCTGAGGAGCAGCAGAAGCCACCATAGGTGTCGTCCTGTCCCACAGTAAGAGCTGTAAGTGCAACCTGTAAAGCACACCAAAGCACACTCTGCCCTGCCACCTTGCATGGGACGACAGGCATCTTGTCCTTGCAGGTGCTTCTCTCTGCCCTGGCACACTGGGCATGTGAGGAGCAACTGTGCCAGCCCTCTCCTCCTGGCTGCTTTGAGTCCTGTGCTCTAAACCAATGAGCCAGAGCATGGAGGAGCCCTCGAGTCCGAGGAACGTGCATCTCAGAACCTCATGCCCACAAAGGCTATCTACCTTTCTGAGCCTTGGCTACACTTGTTACCACCCATGGTGAACTGCTAGGGGACACAAATGCTAACCCTCCGAGGAACAGTATGGACAGCTCATCCATGGCAAATCCAAGGCACAAGTCCCTCCAGACTAACACCCAAGCCACAGTGAAGGCTGATGGTATCAGGCGAGGCAGATCCCTGCACTGCTGGAGGCTCGTGTGTGTTCTCTCCCTCGCAAACTATCAGGGAAAGTAACATTCTGATGTTGTCTGTCCTGCTCCTCTCTATCCCCTGCATGACCTAGTCAAGGTTAGTTTCAAAAAGCAAAATGGTGGGTGAAAGTGCATTCATCATTAATAAACTCACAGGAAAAAAACAATGGTGCTGGCTTCCCAGCAGCAGCGCACTAGACACGGGAAGTCCACAAGTACTGTGAGAGAAGACCTACTTTCAGTGCAGCTTCCCAGTTGTTTGTCAAACCAATAGCACTGTGCAACCAATACAGCTACGTTCTTCATCAATCATTAACTGGGCAAAGACTGTTTGAAGAGCTGCACAGAAAGTCCAGAGAGGAAGTGAGCAGTCTGAAGCTCCATGTGCATGCCCTGCAATAGGCTTGGGATCCTCTCCAGATCAGACAGGCCTCACTTTTCAGGGGCTGATGGCTTGGCTTCTAGCAACAGAGAAGGAGACAAGCCTTGGTGCTTGCTGCAGCCCAGCATGGGTCTTCAAGGCAGAAGCTCATCTCTCATGTGGGCCCCATCACCTTTGTGCCCAGGGGCAAGGCTGCCATCACCAGAAGGTACTTGAAGGTTACTGAGCAGTACTGGGGCTGCATGACCAACACTCTTCTCTCTGGGACCAGCAGGCAGACTGTACTGTGTGCTGGACACATCAGCACCTGCCGAGCAAACTCCATATGCAGCTTTTGCACTGTTCATGGGAACCAGCTTCTAACAGCCACACTCCTCTTCCACCATGTTTCCTCCACCTAGCTCACCTTTACTGCCAGACCACACAAGAAAGCGTGTTGCACAAAGCCAACATCAGGGAAGGTACGTCGGTGTAAGCCTTGAGGTATCCTGCAGCTTCTGTTTGGCAGGAACTCTTCCAAGATGAATTAGGAAATGTCTCTCTTGAACATTGAGGCATGTCAAGACAGCTGAAGGATCGGTGGTTCGGCAGCAATATTCCACCCCCGATTTGGAAAAGAGCTGGAACAGTTTCAGACGAAGAGTGCCAAGATTGCTCCAGAGGAGAGCTCAAAGGTGAAAACACAAGACTTGTTGCACCAGGAGCAGCGCTGGCAAAGAAATGTCCCTAAACAAAACCACTGACTTCTGGGATTGCTGACTGATACCTCAAGAGGTATGAAGGCTTGAATACAAAAGCAGGGTGATCTGTGTGCACACCAAGACTTTGCCAAGGATCCACAACCCTCTCCCATAGAAAACACCAAAGAGCTGCTCTGTCAAAGTGGAACAGTTCCACCACCAAGCCAGACCTGAGATTTGGGAAATCTGAACCACTTCCAGCATACCACTTTAACCTCACTCAAGACACATGGAGTGTCCCTGAGGGTGAAGGAGCTGTGCAGGAACACAGGGCACACAAGGAACCAAAGCCAATCCAAACCTTAAACTACACTATCAGAAAGAATCTGCAGGAAGAGACTGTGCAACTCTGAAGATGGGAGGACTCCCTAAGAGACAGAGAGGGTTAGAGGCCACCTGGGCAGCTCACATCAGGTGTTTGCTGCCACTGATCTGTGCACCCAGGGCTGGCCCCTTGAATCAGTGAGGAATGATGGAGGGATGCCCAAGCGCAGGGTGTGCACCTTGAGGGTCAAGATGAGGGAAGCATCTGCATTTGAGCAGTTGCCTAAAACAAGCCCCTCAATTTTTTTTTGCAAGTAAAACCAGCTCCACTGACAGTTTCTTGAAAAAACTTGGGGTTTATTGATTTAAACTGCAAACAGTCGTTACAAAAGAGATTCTCTTTTAAATAAACTCACACAGAGAGAAAGAGAAAGCAATGTAGTGAACAGTAACGGGGGGGGGGGGGGGGGGGGAAATTACATTCATTTCTCTTTGTGCCAGCCCCGTTCACCTCAGCAAGGAAAACTCCAAACTTGGAATACAGAAATGCAAAGACAAACTGTATTTGGAATGTCTTCAGATAGGCACTTTGAGCCCAAGGCTTTTCTCCTTGAAGAATCTATACAAGAAAAGGAAGGAAAAGGGTCTTCCTTCCACACTGTCTCACAAGACAGCTCAGGTATGTACATTCTAAAGCCCAGGCAGGCAAGATCCAGGGGAGGGGAAGAGGAAAAGAGGAAATGCAAAGAAGCACATTAACTCAATTTGCAGTCCAACACAAAAAAAAAAAAAGGGGAAAGGGAAATTCTAAAATAAATAATCCAAACACAGTTTTTGCATTTTTTTTAAATTAATTTTTCATTTTTTAAAATAAAATAACCAAAAAAGTGTAAAGTTACAAAAAATGTCATTGTAGTATAATATATTAAACTGTGGGGAAAAAAGGAAAAGACACTTCACAATCTTAGGATTAATATGGAAGATCATAATTTAAACATAAAAGAATATATTCTATGGATTCATCATCCCGATAAATATGAACAAAATTAACAAAAAAGCATAGGTTTCGGCAATAAATACGTTTTGATAAGTTAAATAAGCTTTTTTATATTGTTGTGCAGTGACAAGCAAAATTTGCTCTCCAATTTCTGAAAAGTTATACAAAATTAAAAACCCAGAAAAAAAACAAACAAACAAAACCAAACAAATAATAAAAAGCTTGGCGTGAGTGCTCTAAGATAGGTCTAAAGTACTCTAGAGCAAAACCATTAAAGCTATGTCTACTGGAACTTTGTTTACACGAACTTGTGTGTCTGTGGAATGACTTCTGTCGGCCCCACCCCCTCTATTTCTTTGTTTTCAGATGTCACATGAATACACTGGGAACTTTTAGCACCAAAATCAAGTCTCTCATAGTCCATCTTTTTTCTTTCCTTGTTTTGTTTTGTTTTCTTCCTCCCAGTCGAAGTCCCACTCGTGTGTTACAATCTTTGTCCGTTCTCAGCTTTTCTTCCCGCAGACCTGAGCGGATCCAGGCAAGATTAGTCTCTGAGGGGAGGGGAGAAAGAGGACTGGATGTTAACCCTTGCCCACATGCCTGCAGCCTAGGGGGAACTGGCCAGTCGGGAAGGGACTGGGAGAGGGTGATGCAGTACATGGCCAGTGGAGGGAGCTGGATCTGGACATTTCCTGCACATCTGGAAGTGCACAGAGCTGCTGGTGCCCTCTGCAGCTGGAGAGGTAATACAGTCACAGTGAAAGTGTTAAAGGCACTAATTTTGTAAACGTTATTGCTTTTCATCGTAATTTGGCACTTAAGGTTTAAGGCCAGTGGGTCTACAGCAGGCAGGTGGGCTGGTCGTTAACATCCAGCTCCGGACTACCGGGGGCAGGGTGGGGGGAGTTCAGCTTAACATCGTAATAGAGGCTGGGGGAGGGAGCGAGAGGAAACCCCAGATTAGTCGTCGGAGATGGAGAGTCTGCTGAAGATGGGAAGACGTCTTGAGGTGTCCAGGATAGGGGAATCTGAGCCGCTGTGGCTGCTGCTGGAGCTGCTCAGATAGCCCTCCTGGTCAGAGAGGGAGTCCTGAGGACTGGGCGGCGAGTCAAACATGTTGGGGGACTCAGACATGGGCCTGAACAAGAAGGTGGTGGGGGAGCTCCCGCTGGGCACCTGTACCCCCATGCTGGGGGCGAAGAGACTGACCAGCTCCTGGCTGGAGAACGTGAAGGGGTTGCTGGCGCAGTCAGGCAAGGTGGGGGAGCCCAGCAGGTCGTCGGCGCTCAGCATGGGCGGCGGGGTGATGGAGGTGG